CCCCAAAACCCCAAAACCCCAAAACCCCAAAACCCCAAAACCCCAAAACCCCAGGTAATATAATTATTATTGAAGAATTTCTATTCAACATGGATCAAAGAGGAATAGCTTTAAGTGAAGAGTATTCAGATGAAGATTGCGAGCTCACACCCTCATTTTCGAATTTTGATAGGTATGTTGGATGTTAGGTTTGATAATATATTATGAGATAGTTTGATGAATTTCTATTCCAATTTGAGCTGTTGATGGGATACTCAACTAATCCTTCGGAAAATTTATGTAAATTAATTCCTATTAATTACGTATTACAAATAGATTTTTCTCGTATACCCATAAACCTAAAAGTTCCACAATAAATATTGTTTGAGCACCATTATAAGCCAAACCATTATCATCAGAATTTCACCAAAAATCAAAATACGAAATTTTTCTGAAACCTCACCTATTTCTATCATAGCGTAAATCCCTTTATATAGCATAAAGACAAAAGAAGAAGCAAAGACCTTAGACTTCTCATTGTAAGTCCTTCTCTCTCACTCTCTAGAATTGAGGATTTCTTCTCGCTCAAGGTTGGCGAAAAGGAGGCCAAGGAAGAGTCTGAACAGAAGCTTACTCCTGAGAAGGATAAACCAAGAAGTATTCTTGCCTAATTTCTTTCTTCACACCTAAAAACCTAACCACCATGTAGACACACTCCCCCGCTTCCTACCTACGCTCGAAGAACTTGGGAGCGAAAAGAAGCTAGCCAAGGTAATCGAGAGCTTGAAGGACGAACTCAGGAGGCTCCAGGAAAAACTCAGGATCAAATAGAGCAATGAAGGATATGCGACGGACCCAACTTAACAGCTTCTTTGAAGCCGTTAAAGAAGAGGTCGAGAGGTGCCAGAGAGATTACACTATTGATCTCGATAATGACGAGATCATCTTTGGGCAAGAATTCGAAGAGATTGAAGAACGGATAGGGTATATCACTTCACAGATCAGAGACGCCCAAAACACGAAATCTCAGAGTACGGCAGTTTGTATTCAAGTTTAGATAACTCAGAGATAGAAGGTGAAGAGACTTACGACCACGAGCTGGAGGAGAAGGTAAAGGAAATAAGCCAGAATATTCAGAAAGTTATTGAAGAGTCTGAAGGTTATGAAAAGAGTGACTATTTGATAGCCTACAGTAGAGAAGATCTCAGAGATAGAATCGATTGTTTATTTTATCATTCTCTTAAACATAAGCAGAACACATCCCTTTTCGATTTTGACTTTGACCAAAATAGGATTATCAAGACTGAGATTTTCCAGAAGGGAACCCTGAAAGACCTATTGTGTGGTGAAATTGATGAATCCCACATTCCTGGGCTAGGACAGCCCAAGTCATTTATCCATGCTCAGAACATCTCGAAATCTTTGATGGATATTTCTGTTGCTTTCAACACCGGAAGTACTGTCCAAAAGAAGGGTCACAATAGGAACTTGAGCAATATTTCTTCAGGTCAAAGAAGAGGAAGTGCTTCAATGAATATATCTCCAATAAAGAAAGACGATAGTAAGATATTTAAAGAGGTTGAAGCAATCAGAAGAGAGATCAAGCTTGACTACAGCTTTAGCCTCCCCAAAAAATTATTCCCCTTGATTCTGAGAGAGGGAAGAATCTTCTTTATTGGTGGGCGAGAGCATGATTCATCTAGTCCAGCTTTTATTGAGTATTTGGAGGAGTCCAATTCTGTCTATTTTCATAAGGAAATGAACGTTGGTAGAGAGGATCATGGATCTATCTGTGTGGATGGAAGGATTTACTCAATTGGAGGTTATGATTTTAGAAAGGAAAAATGGATAGATTCTATAGAGTCTATCCAAATTCCTCAAAGACCACGGACTTCTTATCTATACAATTATGAAACTTTAGCTGCTCATGAGACACTCACTTCAAACCAAGAAGAGTCATCACCGAGGAATAACTGGATGATGCATAACTCTAAGCTAATCTTAGCCAGAAGCCATATGATTTGTGCCACTCAGATGGAGAGATATATCTACATATTTGTTGGAAAGTACGGTGCTCCAGATATAGATCAGACATACTTGATACACAGAGAGATGACACATACGATAGAATGATATGACACTCTCACAGATACAATCCAGGAATATACGATCAAATCTTGATATAAAATTGACAAGTGATTCTCACCAGGATGTGTCTCTATTCTAGAACCAAAGGGCAAAATCCCTGCTTTACTATTCTTTGGAGGAAAATACGAATTCTCTCGCAAAAAGATCACTAAATTCATGGACAAAAGTTTCCTCATTTACCCTCAAGACCAAGACAGATGCAAACAATTAAGCCAAAAGTAAGCCTCTCTCTCACCTAAACCCTCCATTCTCCCCTCCAAACTCCCCTAATCCCCCCTCTTCCTCCCCCCTAACTCTCCCTTCTAGATCCCGTATCAAAGGCTGTGACCTACGAATAAAGGCGAGTGGGCTGCACCCTCTGGATAAGAAGTTTAAGCCAGGCCAAGGGGCTAGGACTGTGAAGGTTTTTAATGGAGACTCCCAGTGTATTAGGGACCTTCATATGTACTGTGAGGATATGGATTATTACTATTTCTTGGGCTGAAGAGAGAAATGCACTAAGTTAGAGAACGAAGACCAATTCGTCGTCGATAATAAAGGGATTCTAGATTCGATATTTAGGAAGAACCCAGATAAGAATATTGAAACTAATCTGAAGATTAAGAATAACTTGAATGCAGCTTATAAGCGGACTTATGGTATTGACAAGTTTGATCCCGAGAGATTGGAAAATTCCTTTGTGGTAAGCTCTTTTTCCTTATTTTGAACTTTTTCTGATAGGCTGGTTTGGAAATTTTTGATAATTTTGGATTTAGCATCCAAGACATGGCCATAGTTTATTTATGCTTGATAAGTCAACTGCTAAATGGACCTCAGTTCCAGTTGTGAAGTATCCAAAGGGAAATATGAGATATTAAGTTGTATTTTTACGTAATAAATTCAATTTTTATTTGTGCTCCAGGGGTTTTGGGGTTTTGGGGTTTTGGGGTTTTGGGG